GAGAACGGAACAGACATGTAAGGAAAAGCTCCGTTATTTGCAAAGCGAAAGCATTTCTTACCGAAAGTCATAGCCAATGGATGCACTAATTGATGCATATGTTTATGAGGACAAGGTTGAGTCCATACAAGTTAATTTAAGTTGTAAATTATTTTCATGACAAGCACGGCGTCACTGGAGGGGAATAAGAGGCTGAAGGCCCTCACTTTGGTCAAGATAAGAATGTTTTTATCATTATTTAACAGTGCATGAACTAAAAAACATAATAAATCGTTAAGATACCGATCTTGTTTCATCTAATTGCTAACTTTTTCACGTATATTTTTATTATTTTTCTTTTATTTGCATTAATTCAGTAAATCACTTTCTGTATCATTGCAATGTTTTAATTTTGGATGTGTAAACATGGCCTTCTCGATGCAAGAAACTGCACATTTCTGTTCAGGAAATAAAATTTTCCCAATCAAAACAACATCACCCTCTGTCATTCACAACTACGTGCAATCTGAAACGAAAGGTTGTCGTTTCTTTCCTTCCCCAACGTCTAATACTAGAGTTTTAGCATGACATCCCCAGGCCTTGAAAAAATATTTTTCTTCCTGACAGCAAAATAAAAAATTCAAGACTTCCTGCGAAGCTTCGAGAAAGTTTCCAGCCACTGAAATTGATATTTCAAGTTGCTTGATTTGTTTAAAAATTTGTCCTAAAAACAAACTGTCACACTAGAAAGAACTAATTGTTGGTCCTGCAATCTTGATCATAGCTATTCGAACAGGAATCATTTTGTTTATCTGTATTAGATGATCAAGGAGAACGTGATCAAGCACGATACTCATAGTTTGTTTTCAAGGTTAAAGAAAGTAGATCTGAAAATCTATAATAACTTTGATTAAATTTCATATCAGTACTAGCAAACTAGATACTTTATAAGTATTGATATATCTATACATCTTGCTCTGGGTGGGTTTATCATCAAAGCTAGTAGTTCATACAACATGTAAGAATACTATTTTATTTTTTAATGGTTAAAATAAAATTTTAAAATCAGGGGTGGTGCTAGAGGCAAAGATTTAAGACTAAAACGCTTACATTCTATAAAGCAAATGATGAAAAATATATGCGAATGCCAGTAGAAAAATACGAATAATAATGGACACATCTACACAGGTTTGGGGCATGCTAACCTTTAAAACAATTGACGTAACAAGATAGGCTGTCTTTAAGTGTTTTTACATATTTAGAATGGCGAATAATGTAATTAAATTAAATCAGTAGCTGAATATCATGGACGGAAATTTGGCATAACAGACGCTTATAATACCAGATGATTGAAAGCTAATCTTCGTTTTTTGTTAGTAGTGCAGAACAAAAATTATACAGTATGTATGTATATCGCAAGAAAACAGCATTCCATAGAAATATTCTAACATGAATTTAATGTTCATATTAAAATCAAGCAATGGAGATTTCACGTTAAAACGTTCCTGGAAAGCATCAACAATTTCCTGCAATGAATTTGGGCCAAAAATTTCCTGGCAGCGCCGCTGCCGGCGCTGCCGGACATTGTCCAGCCCTGGTTATCCCCTCCCTATTTTTTCCAATAAACAATAATATTTTCAATAAACAATCAGTTCTTTTAGCACAATAGTATTTTGCTAAATTTTTGTCCGAAAGATGCTTTTTAGCCCTTTTAAAAGGTATAATTTCAAAAATTTTCTTCACGTCGGACCCAACCATGGTGGGTCCTCCTACCTCACTAAACTTGATTCTTAGCCCCACTGGGCTAAATTTCGTTGCACTGTCTACATCATGTACCCTCCCTTCCCCCTAATTAGCTGTTTATTAGCTTGTATTTCGCAAACCAAACTTAAATAAAGTGAATATAAAAGAAACAATTTACGCTCAAGTAGAGAAATAGATATTTCATAGGCAATGAAGTTTCAAGTTTGTTTTTATTGCTTGGAAGTTTGTCCTTGGTAAAGACCAGTGTACACTGGTAAAGCTTTCACTAGTAACCTATAGACAAACCGTTGCTACGAGGTCTGCAGGGCATCACTCAGTTTTGCAGGGCAGAAACCCTTTTCACCCCCTCAAACCTATTGGCCAAGTTACGCCCCTGCACCGGAAAGCCGGTCCGCTTCTTCTTTCCGGTCTTCTCCTTTAAAAAGACATTCTAAAGTACCATACCTAATTTACAAAATTGACTAATCAAATTAATTACTACAGAAGAAATCATTTTCTTAATCTTTCCTCTAAAAATGTAACACTTAGATAAAAAATAAACTGAAAAGATGAGAAGTCTATAAAATAGCCTCTGAGCCATCGTCACTGCTTCTGTGTAGGAGGCAGGCAAATTTCCCCGAATCGATGAATGTGAAAGGGGAAGTTCTTAAGACCCAGACACAGAACAAAATGGCGAGCAAAGACGGAGCGGTACCCAATTACAAGAATGACGACAAGGCTTATAAAAAACTTATTTATGACATTAGCATCAATTTGACTTCGAAAAATTTGGCTGACTCAATGTTTTTAAGTGACCTTCCAGGTGATTTTATTGATTATTTTTTACGCGTCTGCTGCTACTGCTAGGCAAGTCGACTTGACGTGTGTTTGTGATATGTTCAAATTTTGTCTTAAGTGTATTGGCGACAAACTACCCCTCCCCTATTCAACTCGACTCCGCAGTAACGTGTAACTGTTTTAATGATTCTGTTTTTGTAAGCATATTATTCAATATTGTTTTATTGTATTCTTGCATTCTATCGAGAAAGAAACCACAACTTCTTCTACATTTTGCTTATGAGGAAGAGCTAAGAGCATTACTTCTCCATAAGCATTAATTTGTATCAATTTGTTTTGCATCAGCTTATTTAAGCTGATTTCTTTTCAGAGAGTGTATGTGAAAGAATCAGCAATGGAGGTCAACTGATGGAGGCTTTTCATAAGCATGGATTGATTTCATTTAACCGTAGTGGACTGGCTTATCTATCAGGAATCTTAAAGGATATAAGAAGACATGATTTATCTGGAAAAGTTGATCGGTTCCTTGAAGGGAGGGAGGAATCTACTTATGCATCTCATGGCAATGACAAGAAAGGTTAATGTATCTTTGTTGTTTCCTTGTTCCTGGCAATTCATTTTATAACCCCTGTTCTGACTGCCAACAACAACAAAAGCTTTCCACAGGTTAGAATTATCCCACCTAGACCCCAAGTTTTATAGAAAGTAACCAGCAAAACACAAAGATAGAATAAAATTGAAGCTCCTTGATTCGCATATTTTATAGTCCAGACTGGAAACTTTGTTGTGTTCCTGCAATATATTGCCCGCACACTCAAATTTACCATACATTAACTTTGGCTTATTGGCCATGAAAAGTCCCTAGTTAATAATATTTTCCATTATTAACACTTTCTAAATTTTTTTTTCTAAATTTGTTGATTTCAGGTGTGCAGCCACAAATTTTCAAAATTATCTTGTCTGCCGCAAGAGAAAAGTTTCCAGTGTGGTTTTAAGGGCATATGAATAACAAATTTATCAACAACATTTTGAGCAAAGCCTGTTGACTTGATAATGGGCTATGCTAAAAATGTCGTAAATAAACTCATTATTTTTCCCAATACAATCGTGTTTAATATCTTAGCTATATTCTGTAATATTGCACAGACATATATAATCATATATATGTCAAATTGCTGTCAGCCCCCTGTCAGCACATCAGCTAGCACTCCCTAAAAACAATCTACCCAATCCCATCAAAAAACGGCTCCTGAAAACTTGTATTCCAGCCCAGGCATGTTCACTTATCACTTCATTGAGCCCCAAGCACATACAATAGATACTTTATGTGAAAAAACAGGCAAAAAACATACTCTATTACCATAATGCGCTTATAAGTGGCTCTTGATCTAACGGTTTTTGCAAGTAGGATGAATAAAACAAAAAGAAAAAAGTGATATGGCAATCTATTTTCACTTTTGACAACAATTACATTACTTTTCAGTTTTTTTTCTTGCATTATCAATTTCTTTAAATTGTCTGCTAAGAATAAGCTGACATGACAAAGACAACCTTGATGAAGAACAGCTTAATGAAAAATTAGTGATTGTTGAAATTGATTCGGGTCCTCAGAAATTTTTCATTGGATGACTGTTAACATATCCAGTTGCTATTGTTGAAATATCACTCCTTGCAATTTTATTGTTAGTATCCTTCTTTTATTTATAAGCACTTGTG